AGTTGTTAATGGTAAAAAAAAAAAAAAGAATTATTGCCTGTAAACAAATTAAAAACAGAGGCATGAAAATATCTTATTAGTTATAAGCCTTGTATGAAATAAATGAGTTATCTTATAGGACAATAACAGTATTTCAATATAAACAGCCTTATATTTGGGGCTTTTTCCTGTTTTCAAGTATCTATACACCACAAATGTCATGTCAACATTGAGCTAATAGTTTTAGTTTTTCAGCCAAGCAAAGTTTTGTTTTTATAATTTGATCCTGCATCAATTTTACGAAAGATAAACAACTAATATAATGTAAATTTCTGTTAAAGCAATTTTTCCCCAGTCTCTAAAGCTATTGTTCTTTTAGTTTGTCACAATTGTTGTTTCCTTTTGTGCAAGAACAACTCTGAGGATCTCCACTTGGTTTCACCAATGAAATAAGATCAGCCGTTTTATGAACAATAATTGATCCCATCCATGCCTTATTAATTTATGTTTATGTTAAAATGATTATGCTTTGTATTATGTTTGTTTTTGTTAATGATGTTTAAAGCTGGGTGACATTTCTTTTTTCACGGCTGCTTTTGCACAGCAGGTTATCAGTCATTTTCTAAATAATGTTGCCTATGCTCAACCTTGGCAAAAACATGAAAAGTTTTTCTTTATTACCTTTTCAAATTAAAGACACTGACATTTTGCTGATGCGCCAAATAAAAGAAACTTTCCTAGAAATATGAAGCCACAGCTCTGATTTCGCAAACAGAAATAACCCCAGCAACCCTCCTGTTTTTCTGGGTTATACAGCGACATTTAAGAAGTTACATAACTGGACAACAAGGTGGACGGTGAAATATCAACATATAATGCAATTCAGTCATATCCATTAATGGTTATACGACTTTAAAACATATTTCCACCATTTTAATAAACATTGCATTCTTTGATTACATTTGTCACCCAAATATTCCTTAAAATTGTCATAAGTGTGCAAAGGATTATGTTGTGAGTTTTCTTTGTGAGGCTTTTTATTGTGTTTTTATCAAAGTTTTAGCCTTACCCAGATCCTACATATCTCACCTGGTTAATTGGATTAACAGGAAAAAAAAAAAAAAAAAAACAAGCTAAGCAGATTCAGTGATTTCCAGTTTTAGTGTGATTAACATGTTTGGATGTTTAATTTTATATTTTATACATTTTAAAGCCTTTTTTTATTTCTTAGACTTAGATTTATTTGTCATTTTGTTTACAAGTG